GGCTGCGTTGCGGCTGCGAGAAACCACGACATCCACGCTTATGTCTCGTGCCAAGCTATTCCTTGAATTGAATTCCACGCTTCGTACGAAACACAGATGTGCCGGTCAGTCGCTTTCGTTCCTCGACGCAACGCAGTCAAATGAACTCAAACGCAAATGTGCTTAGGAGCCTTCAGGGGCACGTTAAAGACCCTCCGAACCTTTAAAAAATCGACAAATCAGCTCGCGATTTCGGCTCTGCGCGTGCCCATCGCCGTGCGCTGGTTTGTCGATTCTTTAAAATGAGTTCATTCTGGGCCCGTTTGCTCGGAGCCGGTTAACTTTAACCTCGGTAAAAATTCAACCGCATTTCCCTACGAGGGGGAATGTTAGGTCACGTAACCGGGCAGGGTAAGGACGGCGGGGAAACACGGCGGCGCTCCTGCGAGCGAGCGCGGCTCGCTTTCGAACTACTAGGGAGTTTTTGTAGACCGCGTTTCCCCCTCCGCTAAGACCTCTGGCGGCCATAGCTTCATTTCAGACAGCCATACATTTGAAAATTTTCGAAAGAAAGGTTAATTTAGTTTCACTTTACCCAATATCTGTACCACGAGCAACAAAAAGTGTTTCTTAAGCTCAAATGTATGCCGCGCTGCCTCGCGAAAACCCGGTAGCACGTGACATGAAGGGGCTTTGGCAGCGCGCGTTCTTGGGTCTCCCCTTTTCGGGGACTTTTTTCACGAAAACCACTTACATTCGCTACAACCAGTAGGTCACACCAGCTACCACCCCATAATGAAACACGGAACTATCGCTCATCTAGCCCTCGTCAAACTTGGCTAGGTACTCCTAGGTACCTATAGTAGGGAAGTTCGATTAAGTTTTAACTTCGGTTAAGGTTAACCGGCTTCGTGCAAATGGACCCTGAACGTCTGTCACGTGCCCCTAACAAGAGTATTACAGCTTCAGGTCTGATATTCACCATCGGTAGACGGATGCTTTTTTTTTTCCTTTTCCCCTGTAGCCTGCATTAGCCTCAGTCATGGTTTAAATGGCCTCTCCTTTTCTAGCGGTATTCTGAAAATGTGTTTGGGTAACGTGACGTAAAGTTGTCCAAATCTGCCTCTCCCCAAATCGTCCAAACTCTATAGGGTTCAACGTCCCATGTGTTCAGCCGGCTCTGCTGTAGATTTGTGTTACCGGAGGCATTGAACGGGACGTATTAATTTAATAAAAAAAATAAATAAAGATTACAGCGCAAACCTTCAGTTCATGTCGCCCAAAAGCATGTCTTTCCTTTTTTTTTTTTTTTTTTTTTTTCCCCGCTTTTCGTCGAGGGACGCTGCCATTGTGCGAGCGGGCTGTTTTTCGCAACGTGGAGTGTGAACGAACTCGGAAGCGTTCCGTTTCTGTCCACTTTTATCTCTGGATCTGTCTTGGGGCTAAGAAAAAGGCAGCTGGACAGTTGCGGGGGTTTAGATTGTGAAGCTGGACAGGCAGCGTCCTCAGCGGTCCGTGGTGTTCGCAATGTTTGTACTGACAAGACACGAGATAACAACGTTTTGTCGGGGAAGGCACGCTTCTCAACCCTCCACCTTTGGAGCTGTGTGATGGTTATGCGATTATGTCGTACGGTTACCTTTTGTCAAGCGAGAGCTAGTTATCCCACAAACCTACCTTAATTTCGCTTTTTTTTTTCTTTGTTTTCGTTGTGGCGTTGTGTTTTTGATGATTCACCCCCTTTTGTTTTGGACTGGTGTGGAGGCTGACTGCTTTCTGGGTTTTTGATCCGCATATATTGAGTGCCGCAACTGAGTGGTGTTTGTCTCTGTGGCTTAGTGAACCGCAACCGTTCTCTTTAAATTTATACCGTTATCTTGTTTTGCTCAGACTGCATCAGGTCGATGGCAATACTTGGAAGTTGAAAACGCCTGCGGTCCAGTTTTCGAGTGCGCGTAGTACGTTTACTGACTTACTAAGGAGGGAGTTGAGCGAAGTAGGGAACCGAGATTAATCAACGCGACTTACAAGTTACCATGCCGTAAATTACCATCCATTTCAGATTAATCAACGCAACTCACATGCCGCAAATTACCATCCATTTCAATCAATTTTATTTCCTCTCCATCTGAGAGGGGAAGGCAAGGGAAAAAAAACAGCATGTCGCTTCTTGACGAGGCCCCCGCCTCCCCTTTACAGTGGAAAGCACTTCTTTATAGCATCTCTGCGAACTTGACTTGCAGATTGGAAATCGCACTGTACTGGCGAACTCAGTCGAAGGAAACTGAGTTCGCACTCAACGCGTAGTTTGACTTGATGGATTACCGTGTCTGACAGCCTTTCAACAGTCAGTTGTTCGTCTCTGTGCAGCGTGACGTCCTCCTCTGAGCAGATAAGAGATAGTTCCAGGCACGCCGATTGACTGCGCTGCTCCGCGGACTTAGAAGTGGCTGTGCAATGATTTTCGGACTTTGGCCAATTAACCGCGGGAATTAATCTGTGTCACCTCCGGAACGAAGGACAGAAGACCTCGTTTTCTTGCGCCCGCTAGTTCCTCTCGATTCCCACGTCTTGTTTCCAGTGACGTACTCTGGGGGACCACCATGGTTTCCCGTTTGGTTCTCTCTTCAAATCTCCCAGTCGCTTCCTCCGTGATTGTTGACTCTGCAAGGATTAGCATCACCGAAGGTCGTGGAGCGAGCGATCGAAACAAGAGACGGTTCGCCACGGGGCTGATGACGAGTGTAGCAGCAGAGGGGGACAGGTTTTGTTGACTTCCGCGTGTCTCCCTGAAGACGTTTCACGATAGTTCCCGTAACCGCCACACGCGGCTGCAGATCGGCACATAATTAGTTTTTTTCTTTTACTGTTACTCAGCGGAGTAGCAGTGTTTTGGGGCAAGGTAGTTCGTTTTTTCTCACTTGTGCCTAAATAAAAAATATAAGAAAATGAAAGACGTTTACAGATCTCTGTAACTCGAAATTAGAGTGCAGCTCTTGAGGAGGAGGAGGGGAAGGTTCGGAGGGGAGGGGATGCTCCTCCGTATCCTCTCCTCCTCCCTTTCCTCCTCCTGCGTACCGTCCCCTTCTCCCACAGTTCCCCCCTAAATTTAGCCGGGGAAAATGACGTCACATGACTTGGTGTTACGTCACCTATGAATAAATTCAGTTCCTCTGCTAGATTTGGCGGAAAAATTGACTTCACGTGACCTCAACACCGATTCAGTTCTCCGCTAAATGTTTAGGTCACGTGACGTCAATTTTCCCGCTAAATCTAGCGGAGAAACATAATTTCTCCGCTAAATTTAGCGGGAAATTGAACTAGTGTTGAGGTCACGTGACGTCAATTTTCCCTTTAAATTTAGCGTGGTTACGCCGACCCCGACGCCGCGAAACACAGAAAGGGCGCCTAAGAGCTGCGCTCTAAAAAACTACAAACTGCAAATTCTTTTAGCATCAAAATCGTTGCGCTACCCTTTTAAGTTGAGTGGATGGTTATTTCCTAGGAGGTTTTCTGAGTTACCCCGTGGAGGGAGCTTGACGGACAGCACAAGGGCAGACAAGTGGAAAGGGGGGGGGGGGGGGGGGGGTGTAGCGACGCGTTTTAGAGCTTTTCGAGTGGGACAACTATTTATGCGAGTCCTTTCGTTCCCAGAGTTATCAGGCGGCGGCGGGTGCTGCTGTCTGTTGCTAGCCGCAGTGCTTCGCCGGTCGGGCTTCACTGGGCTCGCTCCTTCAGGGACTCGAGTTGGTTGCAGCCGCTATCGCCCCCCGTCTTATCGTCTGCCAAAGATGCCCTCTTTTCCCCGAATGGGGGAAAAAAAAGAGAATCTTCCAGAGTTCTGTTCACGTAAACACAAACTCGTCTCCGGCGACGACGAGTCGTCCGTACTCATTATGGGGGGCGAAGACTCGTTGTGCGATTGTAGGAGTCGAACCTCGACATAGCCCTCCCAGAGGTCGATCTGAAGCGTTGCGCGCGAGCGGTTCGGCTGTCTGTGCTCCACTTTGCGAACATCTGCCTGCGCGTGGGCGGGATCGGGGTTAGTCCATCCGCCAAACCGACGCATCATTCGCACTGCGCCGACCTCACCGTTGCTTGGTTACACGAAGCCTTCTGATTTCCGTATCTAGGGTTCCGTGTTTGCGAATAAATTCAAATTCGCCGGTACATTTTTCGTCAATTGGAATTTATCCGAAAAACGCAGAATTTCCAAGTCACGAGGACAAAATAAAATGCAAAAAAGAAGGTGTTTTTACAAATAAACTTTATAGGAGCACAAGGTTAGTGGTCCTGAAAAGATGCAACTTCAGTTTCCTTAGAAATCTCGTACTGACAAGAGGGGTTCTCGTCAAGGTTCCTTCAGGGCAACTAAGCATGGTACAGTAACCTTATTATTATTTTTTTTTGTTAATGGGGAACACAGTAAAATGAACCTATCTAATTTCCAGTAATTGTAATCAAAGAACAAAAATAAAGTCCGAAAAATCACGCTCCGAATTTCACTACGCGCGCTCGTTGCGCGAGTGGCGGAGGACCGATCGACTCTACGGCCGTCATTTCCGCCTTCGCCGCTAAATTTGCAGTCACCAGGATCCTTGCCAGAAAAAGCTGCACTTTGTTCACCCCTAAGCTGAGAGTGCAGCCAAAGTCACAAGCGCGAGCTAGCCCACAATCCTGACTTTGGGTAGCGCGAAGCTAGCCCACAATCCTGACTTTGGGTAGCGCGAGTGCTCGTTCTGGCGGAAGAACGCTTCAAAGCAGCAGCGACCTCGAGCTCTCGTGCTTAATTTCTTTTTTCTTTTTTGTTCTTGTTTTTGGCTGGCGGTGTATTCGAGGACTGATGCAAGCAGAGCGCGCGTTTTTTCCCTTTTTATTTGTATTTATTTATTATTATTGCGTTGCCCGACTCGCTTCCTCCTCACGCCCAAATCAAACGTGGACGAACGCGGCTTGGCTTGCCGCCGTTCGGAGGAGGCTTTGCTCTCGCCGGCACGCTCGATTCTGTTGTGTGGATGCTTAGTTGCGCGGCCGCGAGCCAATGGCGGGGCGTGCTCGCTCTCGCAGTTCCGGCCTCTCTCGACGCCGTTTCCGATTTGCTCCTAAACGTTGTGCGTCCGTCGACGTCGTAATCTGGACGTGCTATCGGTGCATCGGCCGCGGAATCATCGCTGAAGCCATGATTGCCCCCGGCGTCTCGTCGTCCGTCGTGTTGCTCCGTTGCCTGTCGCACCGGGAGCCTCGCTGCTGACAGCACACCGGGCCGCGACATGATCGCTGCCTTGCTGGTGTTCGTGTCCGTCTACCTGGCCGTCAGGTGAGACCCGCTCCACTGCCCGGTGCGCCCATCGGCGTCGTTTGAGCGTGCACCCTTTCGACGAGATTGTTGCTTTTTGCCTCGTTTGGTTTAAGGACTGCGTTGTATTCTCGGGCCGGTGTTGGCGCGCGCGGTTCTCTGGCCTGACCGGGAAGTTGAGTCGTCGTTTGACAACGTCGCCCGCGTGCTCTCGCTGGATGGTGAAGGCTGGGACGAGATCGCCGGTCGAAATGACATTCGCTCGCTGCGTATCTTACTCGTCGTTGGCGTTTCAGTTCGGGCACGTTGCTATTACTGGACCCCGGAGGATTATCTTTTCGAGGGCGACTCCATTAGTCCGGACATGGCCTCCGAGATTCTTGGGCCGGCTTGCTACAACAGCGTCTCAGCTGGGCGAAAGAAAGCACTGCAAAGGTTGGCGCGCGCGGGCGCCTTGAGACGCGGTTTGAGTCCCGCTCACCTCGTGTGCTGGCTTTGACAGTGCCTTATTTCGCCCAGTCTCAGCTCCTGGCTTTGAGAAGTGCATTTCTAGCGCGACTGCTCGGTCTGCGGGAGGACGTTTCAAAGCAGCGACCTCGTGCTGTCGTGCTTGTGGCATTTCCTGCAGCAAGCCGGCGGCCGCGCAGTGCTCTCCTCCGACTCCTCCAAACGCTCGTTTGCCTAGCAGAAGGAGCGTAGAGCACAGCTTTTCCAGACCTTCCAAAGCCCATTAGAGCCAGCATCAGCATCTCATACCCTAGTTACACTGCCACCCTTAACCGCCGTTAATTGTGACTGAGACTTAACTGCGGTTAAGAATGGTCGATGGACATCTCAAACCGCAGTTACACGTAAGTATAGTTAGCAGTTTCTGCCAACTATATTCTAGTTACACGGCACCCTTAACCGCAGTTAAGTCTGACCTCAGCTACACTTAACTGCGGTTAAGGGTGCCCGCGTATTATGCCCTCGTTACAGAGTAATAGAAGGTATTCACTGGACGCCATATTTGAGGGCGTTGTTTAGAGCGCATGCTCAGAACGAGCTCACATTACTATGCTGCTAAGACCGTTACTCTTAATGGTGCGGAATGCACGTTTCAGAACTATGGAAGCGATCGCCGTCAACACGCGCTCAGCAGTAGCACACAGCTATGGCCACCAGTGAATGAATACACCCTATTCCAGTGTGACTGAGGTGCACTTAAAGGACCGGTGCAACGATATTCAATTGGAATGTTTTTCACTATACACGAGCTTACTGGCACACCTGGGAGTCAAGGACACTCGCACGCAACTCCGCTGGCCAAGAAACTCCTTTGTTGCGGTGTAATTTCAAGGACAAAAGCGATAAATTTCATTCAATCTCTCCTTTGCAAAATTTGATGACGTAACGTGGGGATCGCAGTACACCCAAGTGACGATATTTGAATGTGGTTCATGGATTGGACCCGAGCATTGCGTGGGCACTCAACTTGGGCTCGTGATAATTGCTAGCTCGAGAAGCATTCGGGTAGTCACCCGTGTTCAATCGCTGCAACGACGACAACAGCCGAGCCATAACAATGTCTGGAACTCAGCGCGTGTCCTGCGCTTTGCCAACCCCAGCGCGTGGCTATGATCAACACTGGCGGCATATAATCGGCTCCAGATCACGTGGCCGCTTGTTCTGGCTGTGAGTTGAGGGGGTGAACGCTGCTCGTTTTTCTTAAATTTTTTTCTGGGACTTCTATTGCGTGGGGTGAAGAACGAACGCGCGTTTCATAGGTCATTAACGTTAGGGATCCGTTTTAAGCGGGATTTGCGCAAAGTACAAAAATTGTTGCATCGCTCCTTTAACTGCGATTAAGGGTGCCTTACAGGCCGCAGTTACGCTTAAGTATGGTTAGCAGTTACTGCCAGCTGTATGCCCTAGTTACACTCTTGGTTAGCAGTTACTGCCAGCTATATGCCCTAGTTACGCTCTTAACCACTGTGAAGTCTGACCGCTTACACTTGACTGCGGTTAAGGCTGCCCGTATAACTAGGGTATTAAAGGTGAACTGTGTGCACGCGTCATGGAGCTCGTATTTTCGTTCGCACTGCGAAGGCTGAGACGCTATTAAAGTACGCTGGCTCTGGCAGTGTTTCACCCAGCCTTCGCTAGGACGCTGCTTCCAGCAAGCCCTGATCATCAGTAAACAGTGGGCGAGCTTGCCGCAGAAAGTTCCACTGCGACGAAAGGGCCGAGGCCGTCAAAGCCCTGCCGATAGCAAAGCTATGGCGAGACGGCGTCCGATGTACACTTGAGGGAAACGCGACAAACAACAGAACGGAAACGATGGGCACAATTAAACAAAGATGTCAGAAAAGAAGCGATGTAGTTCGAACTTTGAACTCCCACTCGAAGGACGAGACCAGAGATAAACTCCTATTCAGTAACGCGATGTGCGAGTAGATAGTGAGCATGACGGTTTCGCTTGCTCGGTCTCACAAAGAAAATGATATTTTTGGGTCAGAAACTTTATTTGAACTCGCTATGGAATCGCCTCTATCCTTTTTTTTTTTTTTATCAATATGACTGGACGTGTGGTTCGTCTGAAAACAATCAGGTGTCCGTGTTATCTTCTACATCGTTCCCGATTTCAAAAGAACGACACTCAAATTTCGACCTACCGCTTCCTTGAGAAAAAAAAAAAGAAGAAAAAGAGTGTTGTGGTGAGAAGCAACGAGTATAATTCACTCTGATCAGAAATATTATTCAGTATGGTTGTAAATAATAGTCAACATGATAAATGCGCGTTTCATCAGAAAGTGAATTAAGGAGTACCGCGAGGGGTCCCGCTACTTTTTTCTTTCGTGCGTCAATGGCTTGCCGACTAGATCCAGTCAACCATTCGTTTGTATACTGATGCTTGTGTGGTACATAGGAAAATATCCAGTATGCATGATTGTATTCAACTTTACAGTGTCTTGATTACTATAGAAAATTAGTGTAGAAAGTGACAGATGCAGGTAAATATCTCCATAACTAATTCCTAAATATTAACAATAAGCGAAATAAAGTCGCATTTATCTATTCTCTCTGTTTCATGTGCTCACTGGACATGTACACGCATATAAATATATTGGGGTTCATTTCACGTCAAACATCTTTTGGGAGGCACACATTAAACGCATAACCGCAAAGGCAAACCCAACTCTCGGCTTCGTCAGAAGAACACTGCACATGGCCAATTGGGAAACAAAACTCATCTTATACCGCCCTGTCCTCCCTCAGCTAGAATATGCATCTGTAATGTGGAACCCTCATCAGTATTTTCCAATAGAAAAACTATAATCCGTCCAAAACAGAGCCATTCGCTTCATTCAAAAAAAAAAAAAAAAAAAAATTACGCACAAGTATCGCTAGACTGAAGAACGAACTTGGTATATTGCTCTTGCGGAGAGAGGACAACTCTCCAGACTTGCCTCTACTGGGGGAACATATACTGGGGGGAACACATTCTACGGCGCTCATTTAGATGAGACAGCGCACCTAGAACGCTAAATCTTCCCCTGACGGTCTAGAAACACCGCGTGCAATTTAAAATGCGCCGAAAGCCCCTCCCACCCTCGCATTACTGCCAGGCAGTGTTCCTCCGCAATGCGCAAATAGTCCGCTACCGAAACGCACTTCGTGCTGATGTCCGTGGGAATCGGTGCGTACTGTACATCCGCAAGAAGGACAAGACATAGTGGGCACACACACACACTCACACACACACAAAAAAACAAACACTTAGGCTGGTTCACTCGGCCCCGTTTCCTTACGTTACTTTACGTAAGCTTACGTACAAGCCACGGGATATCTGCTTCATATCAAGCGTGGCTACCAATTCGAGGAGGTATACGTGGCACGCGACATTCGAGACACGAATGTTTCGGTGACTTAGACGTAACGTATGAAAACGGTGCTGTCTGAAAAGTTGAACCGAACTCAACCCCTTGTGTTACGTTACGACGAGCCTTGTGTCCTTGGTTGCCACGTAACTCACCGTCCTAGCTCGTCGTCACCGAAACATTCGTGTTTCGAATATCGCGTGCCAGGCTATCACCTTGAATAGACCTATTGCTAAATTACCCAAGCATCAAGGGGAATGCAGGGACTGGTGTTCCACTTGCCACACGTACACGCCTTCCCCATATAAAAGATTCGAAGTAAATAACCAAAATAAAGCGTTGACGAACGCGCGTGCAAGATGCGATTTGTTTTAGGCATTTGCATTGGAAAAGTTAGTACTGCATGCTGAGGGCCTGCACGTGTAGCGCGTGGAACACCAATCGCTGCATTCTCCTTGATACTTGGGTAATTTAGCAATAGGTGTTTTGGTAGCCACACTTAATACGAAGCACAGATTTCCCGGTGATTTGGACATAAGCTTTCGTAACTTAACACAGCGTAAGAAAACGGATCTGTGTGAACCAGCCTTTATCCGAGCAGGCCCACCAATCGAGTGCTACCCCCTCGCGCACCCTGGGAGAGCGCCAACGTCTTTCTCCTCCACATGCCCACAGGAGACACATAACTCATCAATAGACTTGTTCCAAAACTCGAAGCGCCTCATCGCGGCGAAATTTTGCGTTATGCATTGTGGGAATCAGTAGGAAGCAAAATCCATATGCACTCCGTTCCTGGCTTACAGGTTTCCAGAATGCAACGCCCGCCGTGATAGATTTATGGAAGTGATATATTTAATGAGATGAAATCAACTCTGACCCTTTTAATTGTAGGCACGCTTCCTTGAATTTATTCGCCATTTAAATAATTGTGTGCTGTTTAACGATTAAAAAACAAGTGCGTTTACCGGTCAACAAAAACGCCCGATCGAGTTTTCCACGGCGATAGAAAGCGCTCGACACCTCTCCCAATTCTCCCAATCAGAGTAATGCATAGCTCAGCTAGAGTATCGCGTTCCTTTTCCTTTCGCCGCCAACTCCGTGTTGGCGGAGACGCGGTCGCGCGCACCGAGCTGGATCCGACCTTGATGCGGCAAAGCGACC